GTGAATATATAAGACTTTCACTACAAAATATTCCTAAACAAAAGAGCACATGTTTAAATTTATTCCTATACAAATAAAAGATCAGAGTAGGGATCTGTCAATTGCCAAAGATACTTTTATGTTAAAAGTTTGATTAATGAATTATGTAAGATGAAAATATAAGTATTGCTTTTTTTATTTTGCTAATGTAAAATGTAATATTGTGCTGGAATTTTGTCGGAGGTCCTTAGGGGTTTTGTAGTTAAATAGTTTTTTTTCGGCGATAATGGTTAAAGAATATAATGTTTTCAAACTATATGTTCATCACCATCAGTGAATTTTTAGTTAAATGTATGCAAAATATTTACTAAACAGCTATATGATTTAGCGGTTTTATGAGCGTTTTCCGCGTACAGCCTCCTGGGTGTACAAATAAGTTAGTTTTCCTTAGTTATCACGCAAGCATGATCCATGTCTCTGATGTAAGCGACAGTTTACAATTATTTGTCTTAAAAAATATTAAGGACTATTAATAGTTTATAACAACAAAAGAACATGCATGAAATTGAGAATACGGTGTTGCAACGTTCTAGTTAATGACCCGTCATAAACAGTTGGTCCGCTGCGTAGTAATTGGAAAATTGTTATCAAAAATAATAAAGAATATTTGCCACTGAATTAAAGCATTTACTTATAAATTTTCATTTATGCTTTTTGTTAAAAAAATATTGATAAAGTTATTATTTTGAAGGGTTTTCATACCAGAACTATTTATTACAGACGTACGTTTGCCTAAACCTGATTACCGCGGCAGTATGACGTCACGGAGTAGTGATTTAAACAAAAATCAAGAATTTTTCAGAGAATTATTATCTTTACAAATTGAAGATATGAAATTAAAGAATGAAAATATTTTCATATTGTAAATGTCTGTGATGAGTGATGAGTCAGCTTAGAAAAAATCAAGGTACTATTTTTTGACCTGATTACCGCGGCAGTATGACGTCACGGAGTAGTGATTTAAACAAAAAACAAGAATTTTTCAGAGAATTATTATCTTTACAAATTGCAGATATGAAATTAAAGAATGAAAATATTTTCATATTGTAAATGTCTGTGATGAGTGATGAGTCAGCTTAGAAAAAATCAAGGTACTATTTTTTGACCTGATTACCGCGGCAGTAAGATTTGACAGACGGTTATTAACATTGGGTCGGCATAGCCTCCCCAAAAACTTAGTATACTGGGTAATAACTATATGCAAAAGCCCAAAGCTACTGTTGATCTAAAACTACTACGGTATTGCAGCCTACAAAAGTTTTGCCGATCTAAGCCTTAATTTAACAAAATATTCATTGGACAATTTTACTAAAAGCTGGAATCAATCAGAATTTTTTTAAATCTTAATTTCCCATTCTACCAAAGATATAAAGATTATATGAAATAAAACTTCAGTGCTTCTTAAATAGCTTACAACAACAAATGACCAAACCCCACAAAAATTCATTGATTTACAAATATTCCAAATTCATTTGACTGATAACCAAATAAAAACAGACTACTATAAAGTGGCGAACAAAGAAACCACGAAATCAATATATATATAGACTTTGGTCGGTATGATTTTAGACGTCCTCTATTCATGAAAAATCTTTGTAGTTTTAATCTCATACTATTACAGAGCAAACTTTAATCAGATAGAAAATCACAAAGAAAATTGTCTCGTTACACAAACTTGAACAATTTAGGAAGGAATTTATTTGCACTTTGACAATGTCCCTGTTCAAAACATACAGAATAAAGATTTTCCGAAAATAGAGTAGATTAATATCTTCCATTCTGGTTATTAGCCATTCATAAACAGTGCTTTTTATTGTCATTTAAATTGGGAATAACCTTATGTAAGATAAGATTAAATATCTGTATAAAATCAATATTATCCACAAACATGTAATAAATTTTAAATTGATTTTGGAAATTGATCAAATTCTGAACAACAACAAATGATTTCATTTCAAATTTCTTTTTCTTTTAAAGAGTTTACCCTAAATCACCTGCATTTGTAAAACAAACTGATTTGACTTTTAATTTGGAACTGTCCTTTTCAAATGTCAACATTTCATATAATGTCTAATGAGACAATATACTTGTGGCTAGACAAGTTTAACACTGCTAGCATACATAATTTTAAACACTTTTACATATAAAATAAATGTTTTTGGTCCTAATTTCTACAATAAGTATTTCTTTTCCCTCCTCTTCAATTTTCAGATATGGTGTTCCCCACATCCCCTAACCCGTTCATCATTCCCATCCCCCCTGACCCAGTACCACACTCTTTCCCCTTAAAATGGCTTAAATTAAATGCTAAATTCCCTTTTAGGTTAAGATTAATTTTTGGTCTACTGCAACTTGCCCAGTAACTGTATTTATTAATTTGCTCTCTCCCTTTACTATTGCCCATTTCAATTTGGTGCCCTGCAAGTCTGGCTTTAACCTCTTACATTCTGGTTGTGCCGGATGCCTTTCGGTTGTAAGGCATCCGGTTGGTATCTGTATGGCTGGATGTTGTTGCCAGCTGCATTCTGTGAACGTTGCTCTCCATTATTAATCTTTGTACTCATACTTTACACGGTAAGTAACAATGCAATGAGTGACTGGCCATTCAACTTACATTTGTACCACAGCTGAAAGCTACTAGCCATTTATTATAACTTCTCATAAATTCTAGAACACTACTTGAATAATGAGGATACATTGATTTAAGGGTAACACGTTTTATATACAACTCCCACATGTACACACATATAATAACAAACCAGTATATAATTAACATTTTGAATGCTAACTTCTATATTGACTTTATGTCTATGTCGCAAGATGATAGAACCAGCCTGCATAATTTTGGTTATGTTCTCTTGTTGGCATAACGAGGTTCCATATTGTTAATGGCTTCTTTTGATTACGTTTTAATCAAACGAACAATGATCTAAGATCCAAATTCAAAATGAATTATTTTGTCACAATTTCACAAAGCATGGTGGAGAACCTTTACAACCGCACAACTAGAGCAGTTCTCTTGTCACAAACCGCTGATTTGCATTTCCTCCAAAATACACCTTATTTTCAGTCAAAAATTCAATTGTAAAATTTTGCTTTTTACTTGCAAATGATACAGATCATACGGAAATCAAAACAATATCACCTGGTATTTGTGGGCTTGATGGAAAAATGACCTAGATTTTTTCATCGATTTTATTGATACTGAAACTGATGAAATATCTGTGTATTGCGAAGTATTGTATCGTTTAAAACCCGTTATAAGTGTTTACAAAAAGTTCCAATAACCAATGACATTTTGCCACAAATTAAAGAATGTATTCTTGCCACTGACATTTTTGTTGTTGCTATAAAACAATATGTACTTCACTAGCTTATATTTTGTACAGCTGCAAAAGCATTTGGCCATGATATATGAATATATTGATACAGAATGACATTAACTATATTGAGTATTTATATCTTATTATATCTTTATTTCACTTTCTGTTTCATACCTTTTCTCAAGATTTCAGTAAAATATTAATTCTGTGCATAAAATTACAAAGTGTATTGTTTAGTAATTCCAAAAGATGTCATCATGTGTGTCATCATCAATTTCTAATGCAGTCTTTTAGTGATTTCATTTATCGAGTAACAATGGCATAGTTTAGATAATTATGTCTTTTTAGACAGGGAACCTACTTAATATGTTAATGTTTCACATTTCTAGACATAATGTTCTTTAGTCAAAGTTACTGATGTTTTTCACTGCTAAATATGCAGACAGCAACGATAATGACCATAAACAACAAAACACTACCTGTGACAAATACAAGTATCATACAAGCCATAATTGGTAGACAGGATATTACAGTTAATACCTTAACAATAAACATTAAATAATAATTTTTATGCAAATTGAAACTAACTGACAAATAACATCAAAAGAATGAGAACTTTGACCTTTAACCCTTATGATAAGAGACTTGTTCTATGTTGCCCATGGTACAGTTCATTTATATACTGAACACTCAGTATTTATCATGTTGTGTTGTTTTTTTTTTAATCAGGACATGAGCAGGTTCCATTTTTAGAACAAATTATTGTCAATTATCAATTTTGGTTACATGTATTTAAGTTTAACAGTATAGAGAGCCATGATAAACTACACAGATGTCACTCTTTAAACAGCTGGCTATTTACTTTGATTATATTTCACCTTTCACCTTCCAAATGTGTCCTTGAAACTAATATCTATACAATGTATGTAATGTGTTTCCATATAAAAAACTTTGACCAAGCACTGTAACAAAGTCATGCTTGATAATGAAGATTTAATTTAGCTTCAAAGACCAACAAAAACTAATATTCATTTCAGTCAATCCGAATAGAATTTGTAATGAATCATGATTAAGTTACACTTTAAAAGTAATTTCAGTTCAAATCCATGGTTGGTTACACATAAAATCTTGCCTATACAAAAGATAACAGTGATATATGTAAAGGGAACTTTTAAATCATTTTTGTTATGTTTATGACTGGCGTAAGAATCCTACATACTTGATTCACATGTTGCTAAAATTAGACATCTTTTAAAAAAGCTCTTTCTATCTAGCAGAACTGGTACTCTCATGAAATTTATTGGGATATTAGAATTTCAGTTGAAAAGTAGGCTTAGGAGTGCTTGTAGTATAAATGACTTATTTTTTTCATGTTTGCATCTTGACAATTAGGTCAAATATATTTCAGTCCCAGTTTCAAGTGTCAACAAGTAATAGTTAAAGTATTCAATTTTATACTTGTAGAAAAAACTTTCAAACTCCAATGCAAAGACAAACAGGCTAACCACCCCTACAGTTCAAACTGGTTAAAGCCATGTTCTCCAGTACATAGCACGAAAATGACCATAGCCTTATGGTTTAGAGAACTGTGATGCTACTTAATATATGATAAAATAATGAAACAGAAAATGAACTTACCAGTCCAGGCCAGGACAGAGACTGTCTTGGTTTATCTGGGTCCGGCCTCTCAGCCCAGACCAAGGTGTGTTCCACTAGGAACAACTGGAAGATATCATGGACACGTACCCATTCACGTCGTGTCCAATCAATATCATCAAACTCTATCAATACCTGAAAATAAATAACAGAATTTTTTTATTGAAGTGAAAAAACTATATCCAAAACAAAGTTTCTTATTGCAAAAGTGTCTTAGTTTAGCATATTTGACCTGTATTAATCATTTATCTAGACTTCGTCCTGTATTTGCATAGGATATACATGTATATAACAAAGTTAGAATTTGAGAATTGTGAAACCCAGTGTCTATTCTAGGATTCGAAAAACAGGGGGGATTTTTATCGAAAAGTGAGAATTTATTTCATTTGTTGATCTTTTTCCTTCTTTCTCTATGTAAAATTTCCCCCTGCCTCTGAAAAAATAGGGGTGTGAATTCTCAAAAATACAGTAAATCACCCCATCCCCCCTCCTAGAATAGACACTGAAACCAATCCTGAATTTATTCTAACAGAACAGACTTTACAGAGGTGGGTGTACCAGGACTTTGACAGAATCAACTATACAATGTATTCCCAAGGAACCATTTACTGGTCTGCATGACATTATAAACTAACTCTTTGGCAAATTTATGTTAACTTAAGTGTTACTGTCTGAACTTGCACTATTATAAACAAAACATCTTACAGTCAGTATCTGCATGTTCACATTATATGTATGTAATAATGTCATATTTCAAACTTGCTTTACAATTGCACTGTAAGATCAATATCAAGTTTTACTTGAACCAAACAAATTAATTACCAATCAAACTACTGTAACAGGTTTATAATGAAATGAAAAAAAAAACCCATCAGACATATACAATACAAACAAAAGTCTACAAAAACCGTATCTTATAAATTTAAAATGGCCCCCTTTAAATAATATATAATATATTCAATCATAATAATGAATATTCTAACAGTTGTAGGAACATGCTATTTGGTTGACAAAAACATTTAAAACAAATCTGTTGCCGTTCTTCCTTGACAGCAGTTTCAAATAATTTTTGTTATGACAAAATTGGCAATTTAACTGTTATATAAAATAAAAGAGTGACTTGCGTTAAGTCAGGTTGGTACGCTTTGCATTGGAATACTGGCCGGTATAACAAAATAATGGACTTTTTCTGCTTAGACTTTCATATTATAGGAATTGTCCATTGTTATAGTGACCTAATTATTTTGATACCAAAATACTAGATTCAGAACCAATAAAGCATAAAGCTAGAGTGGTCAAACTAAACATATACGGTTAAGTACAATATAGCTGGTCACACTTTATCCAGGTGGCATAGGTGAATTTTCTTGCTTTGCACCCACTATTTTTTGGGAAGGGGAGGGGTTTTTTTAGACTGACCCTGAAATTCAGCATATTTAGGGTATAAATGATAAAATGTCTGCATAATACTGTCAACAACAATAAAGTACCCTGTTTATCACTTAGCACTTATCACTATTTTAAGATTATTCTAACAAAGGTAACATTGTCTTAACATTACTGTGTTAAACTCAATATATTCAGAGGTGAACTTTGACCTATGCCTGCATAAACAACTATTTTTGTGATTCTAGCTAGGTCCTTAGAGGACTTAGAATTTTTCTTTCTGTTACTATGATCTTGATTGGACCATAAAAATTCTCTCAGAATCAATATTTTAAAGTTGACTTCAAAAAATAATTGTGTACCAAACATACAATAAGAATCATTTCTATTATAAATTCATGCACAATGGTTTAACAGTTTCATTCACAAAAGACAAAGCAATACACACCAAAATGCAAATTTGTTTTAAAAATCAAATCACGCCCGGCAAACTGTCGCTCCACTTCAAAATTGTGGTGTACGGTAAAACGAGCGAACGGCATTTCCGAGATAGAGCGGAGGGCCGATTTAAACGCCTAATTGTAAGTATTGTTTATGTTTTTGTCTTGTTATTCATTTAAGTTGTATTTTTTCGAAAAACGGAAAATGTGGTTCCGTGTAGGATTGATTTAGGCTTCCAATTATCTAAGCTGTTACAAAAAGAAAATTATATTAAGCCCGGGAGAACTTTTCTCCCTGACGAAGCGAACGATGATTTGTAGAATATTGAACTTCCCAACCATAGAAATGCCATACCTTTCGGATTTCTTGAAAAAGTGTATTAGTAAATTATCGACCCGTAATAAGAACTTGTCCTTCGTGCAAAATAAATTACTCCTGAAGGATTTCTTAAATTTGTAAACCGATATTTTTCGAAAGTAGTGGAGCGAAAGGGCAAGAGATGGAGCAAAAGGTTCGATGTTGAGCGCAAGGCGATATTAATTTGACGTATTAGGAGGAGCGTAGTCTATGATTTTTACATATAAAAGCTATAGAAGTTAAAAAAGACGTGATCAAGTGTTTAGACTGATATATATTAACCTTTTGAAGAGAACTAATAAAGTGTGATATCCTTTCAACGACTATAGTGTAATAAATGTAATCGCGAAAGTGTCACCTATGGCTTCCGTGTAGATTCCTTTATTTATGTTCGAATTTTAGATGAGGCCCCACCATTGAATCATACACATGTATTCATGGCATAATACAGGATGCCACTTTTTCGAGGTCAATCATGATTTTTGACACAGTTATGTACATTTTAAAACGTGTGTCCGTGCAAATGCGACAAAAAATCGAATATTTATAGTTCTACCGCGAACAAATGTTTCCGAGCAGGTACGTGTAATTCGCCTGTTCATGCCAAAATGTTATGTTTTTCGAAAGTTAGATAGTCAAGGTGCAGAACAGAAACAAAATTATGCAATGCATGAAACACATTAAATTAAATGGATCACTACTACCAAAGTGTAAATAGAAATTTCTACTATAACTAGGTCTATTATATTATTGAAAATTTTAGTCCGTACACCGACTGAGTTCTGCCTCACTTTGAGAGGAAAATAAGAAACTAAACAACAATGCTAAATAAGGGAGGAAGAATCTTGAAACATAACTGGAACACGTGTTATATCCTTATAACGACTGGCACCTTGTCAACCATTTTCATAGTGATTCCCCACCTTACAAATTCATGAAAACGTGACTTATTTGTGTTTTTGCTCAGAACAGGTACTTTTAGAGCTATTAATTACAGAAAGTCATTGTGAACTGAACTTGGTAGTAGTGATCCATTTAATTTGATGTGTTCCATGCATTGCATAATTTTGTTTCTGTTCTGCACCTTGAATATCTAACTTTTCGAAAAACATAACATTTTGGCATGAACAATCGAGTTACACGTACCTGCTCGGAAACATTTGTTCGCGGTAGAACTAAAAATATTCGATTTTGTCGCGTTTGCACGGACACACGTTTTAAATGTAAATAACTGTGTCAAAAATCAAGATTGACCTCGAAAAAGTGGCATCCTGTTTTATGCCATGCATTAATGTATATGATTCAATGGTCGGGCCTCATCCAAATTTCGAACATAAATAATGGAATCTACACGGCAGCCATAGGTGACACCTTCGCGATTACAGTTATTACGCTATAGTCGTTGAAAGGATATCACACTTTATTAGTTCTCTTTAAAAGGTATATATATCTCGGTCTTCACACTCTATCATGTCTATTTTATCTTCTATAGCTTTTATTTATAAAAATCATTGACTACGCTCCTCCTAATACGTCAAATTAATATCGCCTTGCGCTCAACATCGAACCTTTTGCTCCATCTCTCGCCCTTTCGCTCCACTACTTTCGAAAAATATCAATTTACAAAGGGCTAGGTACGTTTTGGGTCGATTTCGGCCCAAAATTTTGAGAAAATTAAACATTTAATATAAATGAATCATTTAATGTCAATTGACAAAGCATCATATATGCAATTAAAAACTGGCGTTCCTTAGTATCGCGGCAACGTTGATGACGTCACGGATGACGTCAATCATCCTCTAGTTCGGGCAAAATTTGCAAAAATGAGTAAATTTTGGTGTGATTCTATAAATATTAGGTTAACGCATTTTTTAACCGCTTAGGTTTTTACATTTTATATTACCATAAAACATTAGCTTTAAATTATCACCTACTATTTTGCGGTTACTGCTTGCGCACTTCTGTTAATTACCCAAAGTTTACACTCCGTCAGTCTACTGTTTACATACTTGCAAATGGCGACGGATTGGTAAGGGGCGTAATCGAGTATATATTGGTAGTAGGCTTAAATTAGTGAAGAGATAAATATCACCGTACATTTTAATAAACTAAAGTATATCTCTTTAATGAGCAATTCCAATAAAATGCAATAATATTTGCATGTTAATTATCCTAAGACGTTAATATCAGATATATTTTCCCAAGACATTTTAGTAATACACAAAAATGTTGACACTAATCCACTGATTGATAAATATGTGTGACCTTTCTCGTCAATTAAAATATTGGAACACTGCTGCTTTGCTGGGCAAGTGTGTCAACAATAAATTATTGTCTGCATAAATGACTCCGCCTACATTTACCTAGCAGTTTGTCACGTACGCAAGTCGGCAAAGTCTTTTGAAGTCTTGATAAAACCGCCCTTGAATGATGATTGACACTTTTAGCGCACCAAATGATATCAAGCACGGCTCCAGCATCAGTTTATTTAGAAGGATTGTGTTACAATCATTAATTGCGATTTTATTTTATGCATTTGTATTGAAATAATTAAACAAGTTCAACAAATGTTTGCATGCTTGCTATTATCTTGGAAGTGTCGAAATTTTGTGCATTATTTTTAACATACGAGTCTCTCTTGCTTCAAAAACTTTATAAGCCACTTTTAACATTTTTTGCTTTTGTTAGATGCCGCATTTGCCAGGCATAAAAACAGGTACGCTGAATACCACTGTGAAAACATTTTAAGTCTATTATAGCATTCGGTACGATATGGCCAGTTATGTGTTGACATGCCGTAAAAATCCAAACAAAGTGATAAAGTATAGCGCATGCTTTACCGTATAGTTACAACATACTGATATATTAATTTTAGAAACCGTTTTTAAAGTTTCCCTGAAATCAGTCTTGTATGTATTTTTTGCATACTTACCTTGTAAATGACTAGGAAT